AAATGCTACCGATACTTGCATGCTTTCCAAGCTCTCCCCTGGCCCTGTGGAGCCTACAGCCCGTAAGGCTGTAACCCTTTAACCACCTTGTGAGCTTCGAATAAAATAGACGCGTCGGTTCCACCCATCGAAACAAGGTATCGTGTTGACGCTAGCAGCCCGGCCCATACAGCGTCGAAAGTCCATCCCATCTGCCAGTTGAGACGTCATCATCTAGTCCAAAAAAAAAAAGACAAAGAAAAAACAGAAAGGAAAATCACAAGCACCGCAACGCCGAGTTCGCCAGATTTGATGGTGCGCCAGCCTAGGGCGTTTGGTCCGTGGAACGGCTAAGTCTTCCAACACCCGCAGCTATCACATATGAAGCAGCCCGTTCATCTTATTGAGCACTGTGTGACCTGGACCGGGAGACGTGTCGGTTCAGCCCAGGTCTGTTGCTACTGCTGCTCTCTCTCGTGGCACCGTCCCGAACTGCGTCGCTGTAGCTGGGGATTGGCGGATGCGAGGGCCCGGTCAGCAGCGTGGCTGTGCTGCTGCGACTCCGGTTGACCACACGAATAAGGGGCGTGTTTTCTTCACTGTCCGAGCTGTTCCTGCGGCTGCCCTGGTCCGAGTGGTCGGGGCTTGTGTAATCTGGGGGCGGGTTCAATGCGTCCTGCATTCCCAAGCCGATGTCGCTCTCCTCGTCATCGTCACGATCTCCGTGCCCGCTGCCACTGGGCTCACCGCTCTCGTCGGCGGGAACGAAGTGCGCCAGAGATATATCAGTCGGGCTTCGAATGGGGCCTGGACTCCTTGGAGGGAGGACTCTAAAGTTGCCGCTTCATGTGCGACTGTGTCCGGTCTGGGGGTTGAGCACCTGACTACCACCGCCGCGAGATGTAGATTGCACAGATTGTGAGTATGACTGCGAGTGTTGAGGAACGCTGGCCGAGTATCCGTCCTTCCGTCCCGCCTCCAAGAGAATGTCGCCCTGCTCAGATCCATATGGCGGCGGAGGTGCCAGGCTGCCAGTCATCGGTGCGAGACCCCACTTCTTGACGTTGGCTTCGATGAAGACGAAGCCGGCTTGGCCAAAGTTAACGTGGACGGCGCAGGGACCATTGGCTCCGACGGCAGGGAAAAAGTTCTGGGACTTGAGACCATGGACGACATCCTCCAGCTTCTTTCCGTTGCGAGTGAAGAAGATTGTGCCCGTGCGAGGACGATAGCCAACACCTATGACATCGCCTTGCACGTATTGGGGACCGTACTGTGTACCGTTGAACGGTTGGTTGTACCGACGCTGGCCAGTCGAAGTGTATGCAGCAGAATATTTGTGGAAGCCTAAATGCGTCAGCCAAGGGTCGCCAAACATACAAACTAAACGCCAGGACATACCTGGCAGCCTGAATAGCGGGTAAGGCTTCGTGGCCATGCCGATGCTGAGCAATGTGTTTTCAGGCTTGTCGTAGATCTTTGCCTCCCAGTAGTAAACCTCGTTCTGTTTAGGCACAGGCAGGTTACTGAGCACAGTGCATTCGGAGTCGAAGAACTCAATCTCGGTGCGGCCCTCGACGAAGCAGTTGGCAATTTCGAGCTCGGGCTCGAATTCCCAGGCGGAGACACCCTTTTCTTGAATGGCAAGGTACTGGGAGAGCGAGATATCGGTTTGGAGGGACTCGGGCGGATTAGCAGTTACGAAAGCTGAGAGATCGATTCGTCAGTTGAGGCTCTTTCTCGACGATGAACGCCCCGTGCGTCGGGACGAAAGGCGCCTCAAACGTACCCTTGGCTCTCAAGTATTCTGTGCGCTGAAGTTCCTCCATGGACTCGAGGGCCTCTGCCTCCTCGCGGGCGAATGCTTGCTCGTCATCGTATTCGCCGGGGCGGCCGATGCGGTCAAGGAAGATGCGACCGCTACTTGTGTAGCGGAAGAAGTAGACGATGAGGAAGATGACGGCGATAAGGAAGGCGGAGCCAAAAGAGGACAGGAGACCGATGACGACGCCGTTAAGGGCGGAGGAGGGATTTGTTGCCGACATGTCGTTGATAGATGTGTAGAAGGTTCGTATGTGGGATCGTGGTCGAGTCTGAAGAAGGCTGGCGTCGTCGAAGGAGGGTGGCGACGTCGATTCCCCTGGCCGGATGGTCGGGATCGAGGGGACGACTGGCGTCACGCCGCAAACGCAGCATTCGCTGGGGGTCGTCGGCTAAGGATGCCCAAGTGTGGAAAATCGGTGTTGGGCGCCGTGCTGTGCGATGATGGAACAAAGGAAAACAAAGATGACGAAGGACTCGATGGCGGAAAGGTTTCGTGTGATACCAGAGCGCTGGTGCTGATGTGAGGTGACGGGTGGACTGGGTTCGAGTCGGCGTCGGCGGCGGGTGGTGTCGCTGGGTTGCTGTGGTTCCACGGCTTGCCTGACCGAAGCACTGCTGCTGCTGGGCTGGTGGTGCTGTTGCTGCTTTGCTGATCTGATCTGATCTGCTGGGGCCTTGGGTGGGCTAGGCTGCTGCGGGCGGATGGGGACGGAACGGGGGGACACTTGCGTCTTGCGTGGATTCGCCCTTGACTCTGTGCTTGTATCGGTATCGATAGTGGCCTGAGGGGCTAGATCGGGCTGTCCAAGGGGTCTCAATCAGGAAAGGCCGCACCGCAGGGTCGACGTCAACGGAGGAGGCCAAGGGAAGGCAAAATCAGGGTATCACTGGAGGGAGAAGAATATTGGACAACCAGACGACTATAGTCGCAGCAAGGAGAGAAGAATCAAAGGCAACCACCTATCGGGTGTTGGAAGAGGGAAGTTGGAAGATGGGATGGATGCATTGGGTCCAAACAGGAGAGGGGAGAGAGCGGAAGCAGTACCTGACTGATAGACAGACGGAATGCACCTCCAACAATGCCTATCTGCCTGCCTTCTCTCTTGGCTACTGACCATGTACACAGTACCCAGCGGTCCCCACTCTGCCGCATCCTCAGGTGCCAGGGCCTTGCCGGGGTACTCCTACCAATCGAGAGCACGAGCGCAGGTACCTAGGCACGTGCCTTCCTTGCTAGCAGCCAGGGCTCATTTACATCGGAATTCAAACAAGTCCAAAGACTGCGGAAGTACCTCACCTGTCCTGGATCCCGAATTCAGGACCTAGGCACCCACCCCCAGGCACCGTGCTTGCCTACCTTTATTCCTACCTACCTTTCTTCTTGGATTGCTGCATCTGCTGCTGCTGCTGCTGCTGCTGCGCCGCTGGTAGTGGGTAATGCAGTGGTGGGCAATGGCACTGGGTGGAACCTGCCAGCTGAAGTCATGCAGTGCTCATCGGCACATCTTCCTGATCACATCACAACCCCCACCGTTTTTGCGACGAACCACAGCATGCCGAAAATACATCATCATGATGGACGAAACGTCCACCTCATCTCACGATGCCCTCATCTCCCGCATCTCGCTCCCAGCATTCCACACTGACTGCTCCGCCCATCAGCTATTCTGCTCGGTCGGCGCTTAGCGAAGACTCGTTTCAAGACCTTCAAGACCTGACGCGCGCTTGGTCAAATGGTTTCATATGGCCTCCCGTCTGTCTACATTCCTGACTATCTTCAGTCTGTTCCCGTCTCGAATCGCCCCCGCCCCTGCGAAAATCTGTCTCTGTGCATTGCTTCAGCATGCCGGCCCAAGTCCACGGCACTCGGTTGTGCTGGAAGGGTCTTGTTCTCACTGTGCCCGTCGCCTCATGAACTGGTACCCGCATATCACTACATGTTCAACCCAGCTGGCCCCGGCCGCCCGAACACCCTGCGCATTGAGTTTGCTTACCTAAACTTTCAAGTCATCGAGGTTTCGACGACAACCACCAACCGCCACCACTTCCCAATCTCGATGCTTAGGGCTATTCTGTCTTGGGTGGCTTTGTATTGCAATCCGACCACTTCACGCATGACCTTCTGTTTTTCCACTTCAATTCCGCCTTGGCCTCTCACTCGGACGAATAGCAGGCAGAGCCGTCCACCGTGGCAGGCTTAACGTTGTAATTCAGGCAACAAACAATGGCAACGTCTTGCGTGGACAGTCAACCTATCTTATTTAACTATGTAATTGTAATGACAACCCAGCCTGTCAATTTCAGAGGCAAGTCGTACAAACTCGAGCCCAACGCACGCGTTGTGTTGTTCGGGCTCGTCGTGGTGGGTTTGAAAAGAACAACCACTCGCCCTCCATGGCGAGAACCATCTCGCAAATGGGCAACCTCAGGAAAGTCTCTAGGTTTGAATTCTTGGGCCTATCTCCGCTGGATCCTTTCTTCTCTACCTTAAGAGAGCCAGCCTACGCTTTGCTGCCATCCTGGTGCATTATCCACACCAGACTCTGATTCGCGCCATTGATCAACTTACAACATGGCTTCAAGTCTTCCACTGGCCGCACTTTTCTTCCTTGCCCATTTGACTTCGCAATCTGGGGATGAGAATATGGTTGTCGGAGAAATGTGATTGTAACAGTATATTTCCTCTCGCTCCGTCACGCAAAAATGGCTGTCCTGATTGCGCTCCCTCCATCCAGGACCAGCTCTATCATTAACAGCCTGTCTGCTGTTGTCTTACTCCCGTCGCATTACCAACCATAACGCTTTCCGCAGGATGGAGGACAAAGCAGCAAACGGCCCGGGTCTATGCCGTACCCAGACATGGCTCCCCCGCCCATGATCACCAATGGTTTACCGGGTAACACTCACGTCGACTTACATGAGCCGATCTACCTAGGTCCTTGCAACCAGAAGCATGGGGAAAATCGTCATAACAAGAGACCCTATTGTGATCACTACCAGAATGGTCGCTGCCATGCCTACCAACACTGCAAGTTCCTCACGTCGCTTTCGGCCAGGACCCAGGCGGCCAGGTCGTCCCATACAGCTACGGTCAGACCTTGACGCATAGGCTCCCCTGCCGCAAGCTTGACGCCCAAGGACGCCACACCACAGACCTCAGTTGCGGCCTACACATGTGGCTCCCCAGCGGCATCCTCGAGGGCGACGCCTGGATAAGCCTGTGCTACCCCGACGGCACACCGAACCCCCGGGGCATGGAGATTGTGCACCGCTACAGGCCCAACTACACCGCAGGGCCTCAGCCCTTGGCCTCCTCTCCTCAGCACTGGGATAATAGCACTGCCGGCAACCACTACTTGCCCCCGCCGCCGTTTGCCTCTGGCCCTCCCTTCTACAACCTCATGTCACCCGTGGGCCTCCGCCTGAATGGTTCGGCCCTCCGGTGATGCCGTTGATTCCTCATCATGATAGTAACCAGCAGGTGGTCAACGTTCGGGTGGTTCCATGTCAGACTCGATCTCGTCGGCGGGAACGTCACGCTGCTGCACCGGCACCGTGGTATGGCGAAAACGCCAATGGCAACGAGCTTCCTTCATCCGATCACCAGAGCAATATGGATCACCAGCCCGGCTCACATCAGAGTCGAACTCCTCCTCTCAAGCCTCGTCCCAGGGTCAGACTGCCAGGCCAGTACTTCGCGGATGATGAAGACAAGACTACCTCGGGCGACATTGAAAATGTGTCTGACGTGTCGGAATGCGAAGATCGCTCTGCCTCCTGCGATCTTGAAAAACATTCAACTTGGTCCACCATCGCGGAATACACATCTCTACCTCCAGATCCGGAGTCAGTGGCCGAGGACAACATGTCTCAAGGCGAAGCTCCCGACAAATATTCTTCTGTTGTATATCTAACGCCCAATCGACCATTCGTGGATGATGGCACCCGACCGCGCCCTTTGGTTCGCTCCAGTTCTGCCGACTTTTCTTCCAGACTCGATCCTCAATCTCTTCGCACGAGACACTGTATTTCAGCGCCTTCGTCTTGTCATGCTGACGAGGAAATACCCAAGGTTGAAGAATCGGATGAGACCAAGCCTCGCCTCGTCTCTCTAATCCACAAGAAGCCCCCACCCCCCATTCAGCGCTCGCCTCCTCTCGGCTCTGACGGTACCTCTGCCGCACAGACTACTGATAGCACGGCCTGCTGTCTCTACAACTCATCGTCTGCGGACTGCACTTCAGACATGGACGAAGACCGTCAACCACAGACGGTGCGAGCAAGTACCGTCCCGGAAATTCCACTCCCGTCTGCGCGCTCCTCTCCGTCTGCGCCCACCTTCTCCTGGGTTGCGCAGGCCACGGACGATGAACATACCGCCAGCCTAGCCAAGGCGTCCATCACAAGTCTTATCTTGAACGATGAAGACTTTCCTGCCTTGCCTGCCGTTGGCAGCGTCAAGCCCCAGAAAAAAGACAAGCCCTCCCCGGCCAGCCGCGGCTCGTCTGAGAGTAAGGGGAAGAAGCGGTCCCACGTCAACTAATGCGTGGTTTTGACCTATATACATACGTTATCGGACTCTTCAGTGGTCCACCTGAACCATCTGCGACTGCTAGGCAGCGCAGGTATACGGTACAAGTCAACAACACATACGGGAGACGAGTTTGACTTGGAACATGACAGGGTACGTCGGGGATCAGCAGCAGCAACGGCACCATGGCTACATATTGTCTAGGGCATGCCTGCTGGACAGAATCCGCTCTTCTCCCAAACAATGCTACATGCGGTGCTGACATTCTCCAGTTTCTTTAATTTTGCTCTGGTTTTGGGGGGAAAGCTCAGGTTGGGGGGGTGCTGCTTTCGGCTATCATATGCAGAGTCACTTAAAATGTCTGGCTCGCTGGGAAGAAAGAGGCGTTACTGGTGCGAGGTTTGGCTGTACAGCCTTGGCAACGGGTTCATGGGACTCGTGCGCTCGCGAACTTTTGGTTTCTTTTAGTACAAGGCTATGGCTGCAAGCACGATGCCGGAATCAGTCTACAGCATGGACATCGGGACACACTCATTCCCAGCTGACGACGTAGGGGTTATTTTGTACACGTGTCTTTGGGCATTAGCAGTCTCAACAGTTTATCATGGAATTCCACCTTGTCCACGTCTTCCGCTTGCGTTGCCGCGTCTTGCCGGGAGAGCTGGAGAGCCGCTGCCGGACAACCCCCAACATGTCCTAACCACATCCCTGCCCGGACTTGACCCAACGGGCCCGGCCGGGCCCCTTTCCGCAGCCTGCCTGCATCTTCAAGATCGTCAAAACTCACACGCGATCACGCCCAACCTTCTTTTCGGCCTAATCCTTTCTCGCCCCCCCCTCCTTCACCCATGCACCGAATCCATCGTCTAGAAACTGACCCATCGCCCTGGGTCCCGTAGGGCTGTGCTGCCATGCTGCTGCGCCGCGGCCTGATCCTGGGGGACAAGTCACCCCGGGACATCCCGTCGCAGAGGACGTCAAGCCAATCCACACCCCATTAGCCTGGCTAACGACATTGTGTCTTGGGAAGACGACTGTGATCCACACGAGCAGAGCAAGCCACATAGGGAGTGAAGCGGTAAGAAGAAAAAGAGCAAGGCCCAATGGTAGATAGGGGGGGTAAAGCAACGAGAGCACCAATTGGCCCCGCCGCTGTCCAGGATTAAGTCTCCTCCCCCAAAGCCGTCTCGAGCTGAGCCAACAAAGGGCGATGAAAGCAGCGATTCGCCAGACCGGCAGGTGTGTAGAGAGGCAGCAGGCAGAAAAGTGGTACGACCGACAGAGCGAGTTTTGGAATTTCCAAAAAGCAACGACCACGGCTTGCCTGGGATACATTGCGCGCCCCCTCCCTTTCTCTCCCGAAGTTCCAAAGCCTCGCCTTCTGCACAGGGCAGCGTCTCCGATTCCGACACGGCTACTGTCGCGGGTGCGAGGAAGGGGAACAGGGGCCTCGGCGGCGTCGCGCAGCGGCAGCGGGTTGCTGCAGACGAGGGGACGCTGTAAGCAGCGTCACATGCCGCTGGTGTGCGGCCATTTGTCGACGAGAACAGCGCAATGCGCGTGGCCTTGCATTAGCCTGGAGAAGCTGGCAGGTAGAGGGGCGGGGTGGAATGGTTTGTGCGGGTGTGCGCGATGAGGTTCATGTACAGGTACATTGCCATGGGAGATGTCGCTCGCAAGTCTTCAAATCGCGACGAGTCACCTGTCACAACTAAGAAGTGAGCTGTCGCTCCTGACGCAGGATGTCATCGTGGGGGACGCTGGCGGACAGTCATGCGTAGGACTGGATATGCGAGGGATGACTAACAGCCATCCATGATTGAGATATAAGGACGAACATGTGCCCATTTGCGAGGATGGTGATTGAAATTTCAGCACAAACAGACAGGGTATCTTTGTGTACGCTAAGCTGCCCATTGAAGCTCGCCAGCTTCTCGCATCGCCCGCTCTCTAGCTAAATTTTCTACAGTCCCACGACAGGGAAAACATACTAAATACATGCTCACAAACCGACATTTCTTTCCTCGAGAGTCAAACCGCCTCCTTATCCCCCAAATGTTATCCTCCGGATAAACGTGATGTTTCCAACTTTGGCCCGAAATCAGACAATATGGCAGACGCCTTGTTGGGGTACTCTTCACTCCAAGATCCAAGATGCAAAACGTCGGAAGCTGCCTCAGAACCGAAATGACCAGACATACGGGATCGAGACTCCCAAATATCGTGCTTTGCAAAGGTGCTATTTGGCGGTTCGCTCGCCATGCCTCTGATTTGAGAGGAATGAGACGACCCAAGGAATAACAACCCGTCCTTTGGGCCATGCGCTGAGCTGGCAACCGTTGCGGTCAACGCACACTGCGAAATGTGTTCCACGGATCGGATAGCTGCCTCGTCTCTCCACCACTGGAATAGAACATCCAGCTCCCAGCGCTGTGTGTCTACAATCTGGAGGTGTGTGCTTTCCGTAAAGGCAGCGGCTAGAATCTCCACCTGCAGCGGCGAGATGCGGAGATATTGAAGGAGCCAGCGATTGATATAGTCGGTCTTGTTCATCGCCTTGGTATCACGAAGTAAATGAGATATTTCGTACTCCTTGAATGCAGCACGCATCTGATCTCCCCTGTCAACAGTATTCATGGGCGACTTGGCAACCTGCTTCAAGTTGGACAATACGGTCAAAGGCTCGCGCCCGAGGAGATGGTGAGGCTGAGATAGTAGCGCGGGATAACGACGGTAGAAGAAGTTCTCCTCCGTGTCGGATGTAGAATCATCTAGAATGATTTCGTCGTCCGTTTGTAGACCAAGTGCAAATGCTATATGGTAAGGTGGATCTTCATGAGGTGCTGCTTCCGCCATGCAACGATTGTAAAGCTCGCGAACTCGGGTGGTCGCCTCTGCTAGACGTGCCAGCTCCGCTTGCTCATCCGCTCGAAAGCTGCGCAGGAGTTCGAGTTCTCTGGCACTGACCGTACGATTGGTGCGCTCCTTCAGACCCAAATCGTACGTGAGCTCTTGCCGAGCCAGAAGGATATCCTCCACTTCTTCTTGGGCAATGTTCATCTCGGCAATGGCATCCGATAGATCGGTCCAGAGTGGGTGGACCTCGACCGAAGGGCGATCCGGCAGAATGCCCATCAACATGGAACGCATACCCACTGAGTCTTGGGCTTCAGCTTTTGCTTGCAAATGATGTCCCTTTGTGTTGTCAGTTGTGATGTCGGCCATAGCCAGCGTTCTGAAAAAGCGAATCTCGAGCCGATTGCTATCTTCCTCCAGCTGATCTAAATCCACCTCGAGACCCTCGTACTCGGTTTCCTTGGTGTGATAATCCGTCCGGAGAAGCTGCATTTCCTGGAAGCGAATCTGAAGTGGCGTAGATAAGGCATCAAGTTCGGTCCGGTGACTGCTGGCAATCAGTCTCCGGGCAAGGCCCATGAACGCATTATCGGCCTCGTCTTTGCGTCGACGAAGGTCTCTCAATTGTTTCCTGTTGCCAGCCATTGACACTCGCGATCGCTCCGCTTGCTGCCGCTTCTGTTTCAAAAGCATCCACAATCCTTGTATCTCAACATCGGAGTAGTGCTCATAATTCGCCTCGGATTCAGCTGTGTGAAGACTTGATATTGGATCGTTTTGTGTGTAGCGTGCCATGTGATTGCGTATTTTTGCTGTAATTTCTTTCCTTTTCCGCATGATGGCGGCGGGCGTTCCTGCGGTTGGTGGCAGTGGTGGGAAGGCATGGTCGTGGTCGCTTTCGCGTTCTGTCGAGTCGGCATCGGTGAGATTGTCGTGTTTCTCGGAATACTCTGCCTGTAAGGGCAAGGAAGGCGTCAGCGTCGTGGTCAAAGAAGAACGACGCGCGCCAAGTTCATGCAGCTCATCGTGCTGGTCGAGCCGCCAGGACTGGGGTGCCAGCTGCTCAGCTGGAAGCCCAAGGCGTCTCCTATCGAGAAGTGGCTCGTTTCGGGGTTGCGAGGTAAGCAGCGAGGGTCGAGAAAGGGAAACCCTTGGAAGATTTGGCTTTGAGTTGGGTACATTAATGCTTGTCTGTTGGTTCGGTCGAGGTGGTGGTGCTGGAGGCAGCGGCAAGGGCGGCGACAACGGCGACGCCGTGGGTGGACTATGGGAAATCGCCAAAGCCCCTGGAAGCATACCGTCGGTGTCCCGTAGTTCTGTTGTCGATGTGGGCAAGGGAGCCTCGTTGGAAGATCGCGACGAGCCATCCGCTGGCCAAGTCGTTGTATTGTCGAGTCGCGACTGTCGTGGAAAGGCGGAGGTGAGGATGGACGTCTGGACGCGTTGGTCGAGGAACGGGGAGGCTAGGAAAGCAATAGGTTGTTCGGCACGTGGTTACCATCTAGCGATGGTGCAAATGCGATAATGACAAGCTTATGTTGTGTACGCGTTGCACAGAGCTGGCATGCTGGTACGGCTGTTGTATAGTGAGTCATTCGAGAGATTCATCCCTACGCAGAGCATGTGCAGGAGAGACAAATGGGAGAGGAAGGAGCCTGCGAGTGAGGCGTCCGTCTCACTCGGTGAGAGACAGACCACGCCGGTGGTATTGAGAGGTATGCGGCCGGCTGGTGTGTGGCATTTGAGCTGGAGGTACGGACTGGGCTCTCGGATGATTACAGCTTGGATGCCAAGGAGAGCGGGTGAGGAAATTACAGGACAGGAGGCTCTGCCTCGTCTTTCGTCTCCAAAGTGCCCCCAATCTGGCGGCCAAAACAACAGCTCAACGAGTATGCATGACAGTCGGTCAAGCATGATACCCACGTTATCATCATGTGGGCGGCAACTAATCGGACTGCGACGGCTTTTCGAGCAAAGCCCCACGTTTCTCTCTGCCGTCGCCAGGAAGCAGCGACGGGAGCTAGGTTGAGCCCCCCCAAGCTAGGGAAGCCGCGAGCGCTAGTATTGCGCTGGCCGCATGCCAACTACTATGTACGCCCAAGGTGGGGGACTACAGGGGGCAAGACCCGAGGGCCCACTTCCCGAGGAGGCAGCTAGCTATCTAAGGTACCTTACCTACCTACTAGGTAGCTGTACGGTAGCTTTGTGGTAATAAGATGGATGATGAGATGGCGCCGAGAATTCGGGAGAGGAAAGGAAAGTGCATTTACAACCCACGGGTGGCGCACCTGCCGTTTCTGCGCTCCATCAACTGGAAGGGACACACGCATACCGGCCGCCGGAAGGCAAGTACCTTGGGGAGGCATCTAAGGTAATGTGAGGTAGGAAATACGATGTGACAGCCTGCCCCGCCACTGCTTGTTCCTCTTTACGTGTTGCTACCACTCTCAAATGTGTAGTGTGTGTTTCACACCATACCCCTCATCCCACCTTCCCCATCTCACTGTTCCGCATACTCCATGTACAGATACGTCCGCCTCGCAACCCACCCCAAGAACATTGCCAACCACCGCCGGCGAGGCCACCACCATCAAGGCAGGCCGTCACAACGAATTTGGGCACCGACACATGTCAACTTTCAAACAGCCCATACGCCGACGGACAAGAGACACCGCAGCTGAAGCCATGTGCATCGCATGCGTGTCTGTCTGCCCATGAAGTTTGGGCTTGAATTGCGTCTGAACAGCACCATGCTTCGAAAAGCCGCGTCTCTCCTTCCGTCCATGACCCATCGCATCATGGTCTGGCCAGCGGTGGTTCATTCGGTCACCCAGATCGAACCACGGCCAGCATTTTGTCTTGAGCCACGTACTGGTGCATAGGTCCGCATGTCTGCCCGCTTTCGCACCCTGTTGCGTCCCAATCCAGTCGGGTCAAATCGAGCCTCCGTCGTCCAGGTCATCACTGTGCAGCCTGCCCACGTCGCATAGCATGCCGTCCCACCCCCCCTCGAATTAGACCGACAGCGCGTGCATATCGGTGCAGTCTGCCAGTCAGATCTCCCTCGAACCGTCACGGGTTATGCTACAGCGCATGCTCCAACGAACCCGAGCCCACAGCCATCAACTCAAAGGAAGAGGTTGTATGCTCAAAGCTCAAGGCCCCAGGCCCGATGTCCCTCGCCTTATCTATCTTGTCGTTCGCTGCCTTGTTTCGTCGGGCTGCGGCCACATGACCAGAACCTCGTTCGGCGCCTTTCTTCCTCCACATCGACTTGCGTCAGCCTCGAATTTGCGTCCTTTTGCTTTCACCCTCCCCGATCGTCGGGACACGACAAATGCCCCAGCCAGCTGTGGTGCTGGTCTTGTGCAAACTTGCTCTGACGTACGACAACTCACTCGCAACTTCATGCAGCACTTCTCGCCATGCGCAAACATAGATCCGACAAACACAGGCCACGGTCTGAGTGGAGCGAATGGATCTGGTCCGAAGAGCATGAAACCTACTACCATGGACGACAGCGATCAAATGGTATGAAACCATGATATATTCTCCCCTTCCTCAGGCAAATTCAGCGCTTACACATACACAGGCGAGTGGTTGTATGAAGACCAAAATGGCCAGGCCTTGGGTGGTGCTGCCGCGGAAGACTCTGCAACTCCTCGACAGGATATGGACGACCTAGTGCAGGGTTTGAGTACCTTGTCCACCAATGCCGGAGACGACTCCGAAGCTGATGATGGCCTTGGCGAAGCCTCTACCCAACGTTGGTTGATTGACCTATCACCGTCAGGAGAGCTTCCAATCTAACGCGTTACTACTGGTCGCAGAGACGGAATATCAATTCACCAATGCAACGCACGAGTCTGATCGTTCCCGTCGTCATTGGCAAAAGGGGAAGAACAAGCACGTTTCCTACGAAGCCGTTTTGGAGCAGGAACAGGTCCCTGAGCCGGAGGGCGCGGGCGCCTATGAACCAAACCCCGGCCCTGAAGTCAACCCAACGTCTGTATATGGTGCGCTCGACATATCCAACGACCCCGAAATAGCGCAACTGCTGGAACAAAACCCCGGGCTGTCAACGCTCTATGCTCAAGAAGGGGCCCCCTCTAGCAGTGGAGCGTATGGTGCGTACTTTGCCGGCGCTAATGAAACTACTCAAGCGTGACTTTGCTGACCAGGCCAGCATCCGTCATTTCACTCGATCACCAGGCCGCCCAACAGGATCACATTTCAGGCGACGGTCAGGTCGGCGACAGAGAAGTCCTGGACAAACGTAGGCTACTCGAACCTTTGTTCAGAAACGAAACTGATGTCTTGCACAGGCTATAAGGTTCACAAGTCTAAATACTTTCAGGTTGGCGAGGTAGGGCACGACAACGCAGTCATCAACACGTGGAAGATCGTTAACATGTGAGCAGGTGTTCAAAGTGCTATGGCCAGAACCTATGGGAGTCATGCCAGGCGCCGCTACACTTTCTGACAGAGACGCGCTCAGAGATCGATATGGCGGGCTGGTACATGTCGGTTTTCGAAGATTCATTGTGATAGCGACAGATGAGGGTCACAGTACTTGTGTGTACGTTGCTCGTTCTACGTGGAGCATGTGTCGCTTGTTGCTGATCCCGGAAACAGGCCCATCCTTACATACGGAGGTCAAGGCTGTAGGAAAAGAGGTGTCAAGCCCCGGCACCACGGCATTATCTACACGTCAACAAAACCTCTAATGCTTGAAGGCGAGCCGCCGCTTGGTGCGCCTCCAGCAAAAATGGAGGTCACGACACGGGGCGAGAAGCTCTCGAAATCTTCTCGCGCTAATTACTCCAAGATGATGACTGTTGAACACAACGTCAAAGTGATGTTCATTGGACGAATTGGAGCTGACTATCCAGTTGTCTATACTGCCATCAATGACTGCTGGGACAACAAGGATCACCACAGGCAGGGCAACGACGATGGGCCGGCAGCGCAACATTAAAGGTTGTTGCGTGCACCCCTGACCTGCGGAGACCGAGGCGCCCGAGTCAGCGTCTCCGGTTCAATGCCGCGATATTAATACGTTTTGTGAGGAGGGTTCCCTTCACCACACCAAGCCGTCGCAACAGCGTCACCGACTATGGAGGCAGTACGTGTGCGCGCAGCATGCGGGTTCTTCCCAAACTGTGTGCTCCCTTGCCGATTGCGATTATGATTTACGATATGAGGTTCTATACGTTGGGCGGAGAGCACAGGCAACAGCCATCATGGTTGAAGGGCTAGCTACTGCGTCATGACATGAGAGAAGCACGTTAGGGAAGTGTTATGAGATAGTTGTTTCCAGCGTACCCGAGGACCGAACCGACCGATATGTACACGCAGAATGCCATTGTCAACTTTTCCTTTCGCTTCTCCGCACACGTGCCTCTTGTTCCTTCTTTTAAATTGCCCCATGTCCTTGAAGGAGACAGGGCCGCGACGACGCCGTTTCATAATGGCCTCTGGACGGCTACATAGCTTCGTGGCGAGGCCTTTGAGACCACATGACTCGAGTGCTTCTAGCCACGACGACCTACGGCAACTTGGAAGCCAAGGTTGACTGGTAGAAGAAGAAAATCAGAAAGTGAAAACTGAGAAGTGGCGCCACGACGCGTCGCCGAATCTGAGGCGCAGGCTGTTCCTGCAGCGAATGTGCAGTTTCCAATGTTTTGGGATTTGGTCCCTGGTTGCCTAGCGTGGCGCGACGCCCGAACAAGGCGGACCCAGTTCAAGGCACCTAGTACCGAATGGAAATAAGGACAATGTCGGTTCCCTTCAGACAAGCTTCACAACCGATGAGGACGAGGAGATGTCGATGGGCCGCGTCGGTGAAACCCCACACCGTATTTCGGTGTGGCAACGGTGAACCCCCGCCCAGACTTGGCTCGGAGATAGGGGACGACAAGGGTTAGCTTCCCCGGACCAAGTCCATGTTCGCTTCTTCTCAGCAGTTGTGAGCCGAGCCTCGGTATCTCCCCCCCGCAAACGTCATGTTCCAATGGCCCAATCGGTGTGGAGAGGCCTGGATTCTGCGTGGCTTCTGTTTAGCAATGCAGGACACTTTCTCCAGATTCAGCGTCTGAGCCCCGTTGATCTGGTAAGCAACCTTCTCGACTAAGCCGACACCCGACGACAAAACGATTGAGAGAGCCTGCATTCTGTCGACTGGCTCATCCTCTTTCTTGCATCCATCCTTTCCAATCTCTCCCCCGATCCTGCATCCTCGAGCTCCCCGCCCGTTGCCGACCTTGACCCATTCGATCCTCTCCCCTCGAACACGCCGCGACCGCAATCATGGTTTCCGAGACGGATCTCCACGACTACCCCTCCCTCTTCTCCCTCAAGGGCAAGGTCGCCGTCATCACGGGTGGCTCCCGCGGCCTCGGCCTGCACGCAGCCTCCGCGTAAGCATCGTGTTTCCTGCCTTCCCTCCCTTCGTCATGCCAGCCGGCAACTTGGCCCCATCACACGCTGACCTGTGCCACGCGAACCCTCCAGCATCCTGCAAGCCGGTGCCTCCAAGGTCTTCATCTCGTCCCGCAAAGCGGCAGCCTGCGACTCGGCCTGCAAAGAGCTCAACGCGCTCCCGAACCTCGCGCCCGGCGCCGTCGCCATCTCGGCGCCCGCCGACATTGCCACGCCCGAGGGCGTCGCCTTCGCTGCTGGCGACGGTCAAGAAGCACACGCCGCACGTCGACCTGCTGCTCGCCAACGCCGGCGCGACGTGGGGCGAGGCCTTTGACAGCCACCCCGACGGCCGCCTTTCCGCAAGGTCATGGACCTCAACGTCAAGGCCGTCTTCGGCGACGATCCGCGACTTCCCGCCGCTGCCTGCAGGTGCGCGCGTCGGGCAACAACCCCAGCCGCGTCATCATCACGGCGTCGGTCGCGGCCTCGGCGTCGGCTCCCCTCGGCGAGCCGGCACCTACGGCTACGCGGCCAGCAAGGCCGCGTCATCCACCTCGGCCGCAACCTCGCGCTCGAGCTCGGCGGCCGCGGCATCACGGTCAACTCGATCGCGCCCGGCTTCTTCCCCAGCAAAATGTCCAACGGCCTGCTCGACATGGCGGGCGGGCCCGAGGTCGTCGGCAAGGGCAACCCCATGGGCCGCCTCGGACGGCCCGAGGACATTGCCGGCGCCGTCGTCTACCTGGCGAGCCGCGCCGGGTCGCACGTCAACGGCGAGACGATTGCCATTGACGGCGGCGCGCTGTGGGCGCGGGCAAGCTGTACGTGAAGCTGTAGACTAGGATGGCGTGGATGTACGAGTGAGGCAGTCAAGTTGTATACCTTGCATGAAATGGTATGAATAAAGATTGAGGCAGTGACATGTCACTGATGAAATAAAATAACGTTTCTCTTGTATTACGATTTGTGTGACGACGGGGGCCGTCAGGCGAAACATCTCGACACTCTAACATCTTGCTGCTTTGCGTCTACTATGCATAACCATTCATCATGTCCCGTTCCCTAGCTTCGATCACCCGGCAAGAGGCTTTCTCGCGACCCACGTACTCGCGCGGTACAGCGTCTGCATCATCGACTCGTCGTCCTGGATGTAGGGCGCCGGGCGGTCCGTCTCGCGGGCCTCGACGACGAAGCCGACGCGCTCGACGAGGGCCATGACCTCGTCATCGGCGAGCTCGAAGGAGCCCGGGTCGGCGATGCCGGACGAGTTGTTGTAGTCGTGCTCGCCGTCACCGTCGTCGTCGCGGCCGTGGTTGCCGGGCGCGTTGTTCTCAAAGTGCCACAGCAGGGGCCCGACGTTGACGAGGATGCCGCCGGGCTTGAGGCAGCTGAGGATGGTCTCGAGGTAGCGCACGAGGTTGGGCGCCGTGTCGAGGAAGAAGACGGTGGCGACGACGTCGTAGGTTGCGCGCCGCGCCTCGTCGCCGTAGAGGCAGAGGAAATCGGCGGCGCACATGGACATGGTGCCTGGCTGGGCGGCGGGGGACGACGACGACGGCGACGACACCGAGGCGAGGGCGGTGCCTGGGTGCAGGTCGGGCACGGCGTAGCTGCGCAGGTGGTTCTCACGCGTGCGGTGGTTCGAGAAGGTGTGAACCCAGGGGAAGATGGTGAACTGGCCGGCGGTCCTGGTATGGTTGAGGATAAAGTCCGAGGCGAGGAGCTGGTGGTAGGAGATCTCGTTGCCCTCGACGTCACAGCCGGCGCGGCAGAGTTCGAAGACGAGTCGGCCGAGACCGGCGCCGGGGACGAGGACGCTGAGATTTGCGCCGCTGTCGTGGCCACTGCTGCTGCTGCTGAGGCGCGCGCGCTGGCTCTCGACGGCGGCGAAGACGGGGCTATAGGAGGCCTGGCGCTCGGAAGCGCCAGCGGCGGTCCAGTCGCGGAAGAACTGGCGCAGGGTGCTGCGAGCCTTGTCAATGTCGCTGTGCTTGGCAATGCCCACCCACTCGCGTGCGAGGGCCGGCTCGTCGGCTGAGGCCGAGGCAGCAGGGTCAGGATTGGCAAGACCAAAGGACTTGATGCCGTGGTGGGCTATGGCACGGGCCAGTTGTGCGTTGGCGTCGATGGCTTCGTCAGTGCGGTCGAGAGTCTCCAGAAAGTTGAAGGGGGCTGCCGCGAGCATCTGCCATTGGGCCTGGGGCAGGGCGTAGAAGCTCTGGCGGCGCAGGTGGGTGACGTTGAAATGTGCCACCTTGGCATATTGGCTGATGTCTGGTCAGCGAGATCCTGGTTGCTGTGCGCATGTGCAGGGGAGAGGGATGCTGAAGAGGGATGCTGAAGAGGGATGCTGAAGAGGGATGCTGAAGAGGGATGCTGAAGAGGGATGCTGGAGAGGGATGCTGGAGAGAGGGTGTCGATGAGCTTAGGGTCAGCAGTCAAGATGCTGTGGTTGTTGTGTAACCACCCATGCCCGTCGTGGGCCGGCATGTCGCTCTCATGACGAGGTGCGGTGAGTCACGGCACGGGGAGGAAGCATCATGTAAAGACGTGCCCAAAGCTTTGTTGGGCGGCAAGCAACGTACAGGTAGGAGTCGAGGGCACAGCAGACAACCTTCTTTTCCTCCGGGTCCTCAAACATCTCATGGCCAGTCTGGTCCCAGGACCCGTCTTCGGCCGCGGCCATACTGAATCTTGTTTTGTTCTGCGCCTGTGTGGTGGTGGTGGTGATGATGGTGGGGTTGCAATAACCTCGACAGGGTTAGGTGCTTCCTAGCACTTGGCGCGGGGCAACGGAACGAGCTTCGACAAGGAAAGACGGGGTTCGCAGCAATGCTATCGCATGGCGGACATGGGACATGGGCGATGGCGGAGGGGAGGGCGAGCCGGCCCCTGGACAAATATGGCGAGATGCAGACGAGTGATGATGGCTCATGGCTGTGGCGGCCATCGGCGACGATTCTTTGGTGGAGGTGGGAATTTTGGTATTTTGGCAAGGCGGAGGATGGGGTCGTCCGTCAAGTGCGTGATTGGCGGGGCCCTGTAAGCCTGCCCGCCGGCGGCCTGCCGTCTCGCTTATCTGGACCCTGACGGGACCGATAACGCGCTCACCGTCTACGTCTCTCTCTTACAGGAAGCAGCAATGGTGTCTGGCTTTCACAGAGGCAGTAACGGTGGTCTTTCTTTCTTCAATAGGCAGAGACAGTTGTCTTCTCTTCTCCAAGAGGAAGCAGCAGTGGTCTTTCTTTCTTGAAGAGGCAGCAACAGTGGTCTTTCTTTCTCACAGAGGCAGGCTTTCGATCGACAGCAGTGTTGGATACCTACGTTCCTAAGGTGCCTGAGGTAGGTGGTACCTCGGTACGATACTGAGGTGCCTTACCTTGGTCTCAGGACTGATGCTCTTCTTTCATCCCACGAACACAACATGCTACATCACCCCGCATCGGGCCAGTGGTACACAACTCCCTGATCATCCATGTTGCCAATCTCATCCAGAATCGAAAACACCTCCTCCGACGATATCCCAATAGTGTCCATAAACTCCAGATTCGTCGTCGCCGCCGGCAGCGACGCCCACAGCATCGGCGTCTCCTCCGCCATGGCACTATCGCCAAGTCCCCTCTGCAGGCCCACGTCCTCCTCCACGCCAGCCACGGCCTCGAGCGTGGTCCCTGCCGACGAGAGGGACCCTGCGATCGAGTCATCGAGACCCGGCAGCGTCAGCGTCAGCGTCTGCAGGCCGCGTGCATCCGTACGCGCGGCGAGCTCGCGGCAGAGATCCTCGAGCTGCGTGAGGTCCTCCTTGCGCGTCGCCGCGACCTTGTTGCCTTTGGCCATCATGTCGTCCATGATTGAGTGCGCCGCCTGGCTGTGCCCGCGGGTGTCCTCGGCCACGCTTGGGAAGAGGGCGTCGGCCATGGTCAGGTGGATCGCTGCGCTGTAGACGAACTCGAGGTCGAAGACGAGAAAGACCTCTGCGACTCCTGGGTCAGACTCGAGAAGGACAAGCAGCAGACTTGGGGCTAACAAGAAGCAGGCAGGGGGTGTGGGCGCACCTAGTAGATATTCCTCGTCTGTGAGAATTTGGAGCGTCTTGACAGCAGACTTGATTCCGGTCGAGATCAACGATGTCGTCGTGCTCAAAAATGGCTCCCAGTCCTTGTCGCCGTGTTCTGGGCTGTTGAGTCGGTCTTGGAGCACGAACAGCAGCAACGGACGCGTGGCGACCATGACGCACTGCTCAAGCATCAGCTTTCATGGATCTGATCCGAAAAGAACACACCAGAGGATGGCGTGGTCTGACCTGATGGTAAAGAAGAGAGATGTGCCATATGCCTTTTGGCATGGTATCGACTGAATTCTTAAACTTCTGGGCAATGACTTCCTCAATGTCTTGCGCATGTCCCGCCAAGGTTCGTAGTATGGACCCAGTCATCTCGAGAAAAGGCCCAAGCTGCGTCTGGTCGGTTTGGTAAATCGCTGTCTCGTCATCAGATTTCAAATAGTGTCACCAGGGCATCATACCCACGTACAAGACAGAATGTGCGACAGAAGCTGTGAGAGCTTGACCTGGAGGACCACGGCCGTGTCCTCTTGCGAGTTCTCGCCGGGGACACTCAGGTGCGTCGTGATGCCGCCGTCCTGGATGGACATGGGCAGCCCCAGCGACGTGGAGAACTGCCTGTCCATGATGTACAGCGTCCACCAGAGATTCCGGCAGCGCTTGACCATCTGCGCGCCCAGCTCCTTCTCAGGCAGCGGGGTGTGCAAGCCTTCAAGCTGCGCGATCCGAATGGCGTGGCCCAGCACCGAGGCGACGGCGGGGCCTGGCTGAAGCTGGCACAGACTCCTCTCGGTAGACTTACATAGACGTGGCAGCTCGCCGATGGTCATGGCGTAAAAGTACAGCCCACCATGCCGTCAGCTCAATCGCCCAGGATGCTGTCTCTCCGGGAAACAGCAGGGTCAGGCATCAGGGACATGGCGCGAGTGAAGTAGCAGGCGCCCCAGGGGATCTTTGCTCGCCCTCGAGCGCGAGACGAACGCCTTCCGAAAGCCAGCATCAGGAGATACTGGACAAACCAAAACTGATGCTGCGTTGCCACGGCTCGTGCCTCGCCGTCGTAAAAATCATTCATACGACTGAGAAAAACTCGCATCCTCAAAGAACCGATAGGCTCTGCCGAGATGGAACTTGACGGCGTTGAAGAGATAGATGGCGTAGTCCATGGACGGCAAGCCGCTCATGTCTGGCGCGTCGCTAGATGCCGGCTTCCAATGCAAGGGATAAATCTTTCCATCGTAGACATCAACACTGCCTTCTTCCGAGTCCGGATACAGCTTTTCCTTCATTAGAAACCGCAGCCGGACTGTGAAGGACCAAGTGGACCACGGTGCCAGCCAGACTATCCAAGGTTAGTCAGAATCCAAGTGGACGGAATCCTCAGGGCTACTCACTCCAGCCTTGCCCGTTGGGATGCTTGTTCTTGATGATCTTGGAAGGCAAGCTGAATCGTTGGGATGTCAGGCCTGCCGAGTCTAGCACAGAGACCAAGGGCCGTGGTGAAGGGGGCACTTCTTGTACCTGTTCAGGTTTCGGGGTTTCCTGCAGATGTCGCTCCGGGTGCGTCCTCCCTCGGACGAGAGCCGGAGTTTCGGTGAAGTCAAGGTCGTCATCGTCAACATCGAAGACTAGCTGACAGGCTTCTGCGATACGGCGACGACGTCTTGGGCCCCCTTCGGCAGCAAGCGCAGGAGAAACCTGACGCTGAGCATGGAATGGGGTGAACTGTGGCGGGTGCGCAAGGGGGCTTCCAGATGGACTGAATGATACGCGAGACGGAATTCTTGGAGAAAGGTCCTGGCGACTGGTATGGCTGTGCGAGCTGCAACTCTCGCTGGTCAGTGACTGTCGATGCCGCTCCCAACCTCGATCCAATTGATAACCCTCTTGGTGCTCCCTTGGCGCGTTGCGTTGCCTTTCCTTCCAGTTTGTGGGTTCGTCCAATTGCCTAGCCCTTCGTAAACTGCCTCGAGGCTGGGCCCGTTCGCCAGCTTCGTGATGGCCAGGACTCGGGCTACCTCGATGTCCTCTGGCTTGCTGTCTCAACTCTTGCAGGAGCCTGTCCATGCCGTCAGGGTGTCGCTCATCTTAGGCGAAAGCGCATCTGCGAGAAAAGAGGGCTCTTCTTACCTTTCGGAAACCACAACCTTGTTGCCAGCCTCCGCAAAGTGGCAACGAGTGAAGCGCCGTATGCAGTTGTTGCATGGCACATCCCCCGAGCACTTGATTTTGCTTTGCCGACATGCGACGCATCTACAAATCCATCCTCAGCAACGACAAGAGTCTACTCTGTCCGAGATGGGGATCTCGTACGCATTTGCGGTTCTCCTTGTTTTGGGCTGTTGTCTTCGGGGAGCCTCTGGCGCCATGATGTATTTACTCAACGTCCCGTGTCTACCGCTCTAGTCTTGACGCTGGCCATATTTGACATCAAGGAACATGATGAAGTGGCAAACCGAAGCCTAGACCTGCCCAAAGCCTCTGTCCCGCGAACAGCATTGGAATTTGTCATGGAAATTGTCCTCGGACGAGTCATTGGGTCCATGTGGCATCGTCCCCAGCAGCTGATCCAGTCTACGGGCCACCGAGAGGTGCAGCTGTTCGGAGCATTCGAGCGCTGTCGCCGCCTTCCCCTCAATGTCCAGGGGGTCTTAAACAAAAGCGGACGGCGGAGGTCGACCAAAGGCCGGTCATGTGCTCGGGAATTGGAAGAGGTACGCGCGAGCTGTTTGGACATGGCACAGACTGAGCAAACCACCGACCTGTCAGATTTGGGCCCTGGAGATAGACTGCAAATCACATAGAATGTACAGAGTGGAAGAATAGTTGGATTTTCCCTCCAAAGGTCTACATCTCGTGATCGCATCAGGGTAGCATTCATAGTAGTCGCTCACGCTAAGAGTCAGTTGCGTTCATTTTGAGCATTCTGTTCCGTCAAAATTGTGATCACGAGTTCAAGCTGATGGACGCGATAATGTGAAGGCTCCGCAGGTAGCACAGGGCGTGCATGCATCTTGAGGTTCCCCGCACAAACCGATGTAAGCGTCGGCATCCCATCCCGCTGTCAGTGCGGCACCATCCCGAGACCCCGGTTGGAGACAATGAAGGCTTCACTGTAGCACCCAACTTCTCTGCGATTCGTTGCATCCCCGCGATTTTGCAGCAACCCTTGACAAGGATCGGGTTCTCAAGCCGTTGTGAATACCGCAGCAATTGGGTTCAGGTCCAGCAGCAACGAAATGTAAAGCAATCGAAGTTCTACCTTATAGTAGCGTGCGAGATTCTTGCATGCTTGCGTGATTCGTATTCACTTGAATCACGATTCTCATTCTAGAGACTAAACAACCAGCAGAAAGTACGCTACGAGCGCCTCAGCTCGTTATCTCCCACATCCCCCATCAGGTTGACTTTCTACGCCATGTTTGATCTCATCGTCGTTGGTGCCGGCCTCAGTGGCCTCCAAGCTGCCTATTCGGCGCAGCAAGCAGGCCTTTCAGTAGCCGTTGTTGAGGCGCGCGACCGCGTCGGCGGCAAGACCTGGACTGTGCCTTTGGCTTCGGGACGTGGTGTCGCAGATCTCGGAGCTGCATGGATCAACGACCGACTGCAACCGCGGATCTGGGCCTATGTGCAGAAATTCGGACTTCAAACTGTGAGGCAGCGTTTGGTAGGCAAGGCAATCATGCAGTCATCTGAATCCGAAAGAGTTGTGTATCCGTTTGGGATCACGCCAGAGGTAAGAGCTTATACGCGTGGAAGAACCACATACTTCAATCCCTTTACAGATCATAAACAAGACTGACCCCGTCCAAATGGGCGAAAAAGTTTACGGAAGATGAGAAGATGAATTTGGAAAAGGTCCGGGATCATATTCAGCGGGTGTCCCTACTTAAGGAACCCCCGAATTCACAGGACGACAACGTCACCCTCGATCAGTATGTGCGTGAGCTTGGCGCAGGTCCAAAGACGATCCAGATGGTCAACCTTTGGTCTCGCGTTATGCATGGCGTGGAATCATCCGAGCAGTCTGCTGCTTGGTTTATTGACTACTGTCGGCGTAACAAAGGTCTCCTGGCCGTGCGGGCTGATGATCAGACTGGAGGGAACCACATGCGGATTATATCTGGTAGGTGTTCATTACAAAGACTTTCTGTCCCAGGGCTGACACCTGCTGTTAGGAACTCAAGAGATCTCAAAGGGGATCGCAGACCTTATCGGCGCGGGGAGAATCTTTCTCTCAAGTCCTGTTGCGGCGATTGAGGACAAAGTGTCCAAAATTGAAATCACAACGCGGGATGGGAAGATTTTCACGGGATCCAGATGCATC